TGTCAGAGCCCCATCAGGGAGGAAAAGTCATTTCAAAACAGAGCTCTAGCTGGTCCAGCAATGTTAGCTACGATTGGGAATCTTCCGTTTCAACCCTGTCTTCTCCCCTTGAAGAAAGGAAAAAGCAGAGGTTTAATGCAGGGACTGAAGCAAGGGATTTGAGAATCAGTAAACAAACAGGACAAATTCAAAAGAAAAGTTCGTAATGTTTCTTTCAGCTGTGCAGTTTAGAAATGGAGCAACCTTTATTGTAATACTAAGTAATTAACACCAGAAATAACGTGACACTAGAAGTCACCGTCCATGAACTTAGAAACTAGAACAGAGCTATTGAAACTAATGCGAATTCAGTCCAATCTTGGAAAAACTGCAGTATGTTGATAACAAATTGACCCAACACTTCATGGGACATGTTAATCTATTCTGGCAAAGAGCTTCCAAACTATTGAAAAACATTATTTTTATTATTTTTGCTTGCATAAATGGCTTCTCTGCTTCGCTGATAAGAGAAAATTTTGATTAAAAAATGGAAACTATACTGCATTCTTTCCAACTTGTGGTTCTACTTTTCACTAAAGGAATAACTAGTACAGACTAAACGTGTCCTACAAAACTATCAGTAAATGTACATGTACAAATCTACATGAGAAGTGATCTTTTGACGTTTGTTTTCATTACAAAATTTCAATTACATTTTATTTTTTGTATCAGTACAACTGTTTTCAAGAGTTTTAATCTGACGACTCTATGTACATGGTTGGCAACATGGCCGACAGAGCACCTTTCAAATTGCACAAAAAAATAGTTTGATGCAATGGGGCCATATTGTCTGTCATGCCGGGCCATCTAGTAAGTATACTTCACATAGAAAAAAAAAACTTGGTTACACTTACAAAGGAAGTTAATAAAAAGAGACAGTTTTTTGTGTCATCTCAGAAACACTTTTATCTCACTTGTACTTTTTTCTGTTTGCTGTTGAAAAACCTTGGCTGTACATGTAACACTCTGTAAGAAGTTATACATGTACAAAGAAGCTAGTTTTCAGTACTGTGATACTCTGGAGGCTAGCACAATATAACAAAGATGCCATCGTTACATGTTACATGTCCTGCAGACAAGTTTGCAAGGGAGACTAGGCAGTCTTTTACCTTCTGACTTGCCCTTGAACACAATTTAGCTGGGTTGCATGAAGGTTTCACAAGCTACAGACTATAAAATTTAGTCTTCATCTAAAGCATGCATTCTGTTTTAAGGCTTGGAGTCAACGTATGCAAAACTAGAAAATGGGTAAAAAAAAAAAGAGATTAAGGCAATACACACTTGTCAAGAAAACAGTCTAGCTTAGCAAATTCTATCCAGTTCCACACAAGAAAGAAAACTGAGAACGCACGCTTGGTGTCTCTGGTTACGGCTTGTTGCCTGCACTACTGTGATAAATCCATAGTTGGGATTTTGGACAAGCCCTAGCCGCTAAACTCCAACTCTGACTTTGGCCAAATCTATGCCAGCTCAAGCTTCGGGAGTAAGTACACGCTTAACAATTTGAACATTTCACAAAAGCAAGGCAAGACTACCGCACCAAGAGATTGCTGTCTACACAGATATGACCTTCCCTTCAACACTTTGCCATTACCTCCTCTGAACTGCTTCAACATTTACCTCCAAGTAAGGAACCTCGATAGAGAAGAGTTGTATTAATGTTAACACTGTCAGTTACATAGAGTTGTATTAATGTTAACACTGCCAGTTACATTTACATACATCAACTTCCGTTTTATTCATTAATGAGTCATTAATTGGTCATTAACCATGTGATAGTTTTTCCATATAATCTGGAAGTCTAAGGGACAGGTATATCCCAATTGATAGTTGCTACTCATACTTTTCGTGTGACAGAAAAAAAATCCTCTTTTTTAGGAACATAAACGACAACAAAACCTTTCCGAACATGTTTTCGACTCTTGCAAATGTTTGAGAAAGTGAATAAAAAAAAAAAAAGACTGGGACGGGATTTGAACCTGCCACCTCTAGACCACCGTACCAGTGCTATGCCAACAGCACCAGCACCAGTTGGTTTCTCTTCCCATTTGTCAATATCTTTGTTCAGGCGATCTAAGTCAGAAGCCATACAACCTGGACACCACGCAGCAAGCTTTCTCAACACAAATGTTTCACATAAGCCATATTATTGCTCGGAATGCAATAAAAACAAATCAGTTACTTATTTTTGTCAACATTAAAACCCCATGTAAAAGCTCTTTAACCATTTAGGTTTAAAATCCGTTTTCACTAGCTGTTTAAAAATAAAAAACTTGCATGCTCCTGCAAAGATATATTTTAGAAACAAAAACATCCCCAAACACTAAATACTACACAAAACATTGTGTAATGCAGGGTGTGCCATATAAAAAATACATTGGTTTGTGCATTTGAAAAATTCTCTCACATTAGACAGTGATTGAAATTGGAATAAAATTTGGATAAAAATCTGAATACATACAATTCACTGGGCAATCAACGCAATCAGAACAAATGCAAAAGATACCAAGTTGCCACTTTTAGATTAATTTTTCCCTCAGCAATTCTTTAATGCTGTCAAGATATAATCCCATTGATTTCTACACCTTTATACAATGGGCATAAATTGGAGGGGGGGGTTATCCTCTTCACTTTTTGACCGGGAAGGGGGAGACAGGCTACAGAATCATCCCCCCAATTTTTCGCGAAGAGAGAAAAATAAAGGCTGATTGTGAAGCATTTTTCGGACTTCCCAACAAGCAAACTGTATTCAATTGCACTCAAAAAAGGACAATATAAAAAGCCATCACTACGCCACTCTGGTGTAAGAATCTGCAGGAATGTATCACATATTACATGTACACTACCCCTCCCACCACCCCCCTGTCTTATAGTGTCAGCACTCCCCCTTTCAAAGCTCCATGGTCAGGCAAGTCATCCCACCCCTCAAACTTCCCCATCTTCCATCCCCCACCCCCCCCCTTTCTGGCACAGATTTACGCCACTGCTTTACACTTCAAGATAAGAGTGACTGGGCAGAGTCACTGAAAATTCAGCAAGTATGAGGGTTATATACGTGTGACTGCCTCACACACACAGATTACAACCAAAAATATTGAAATGTTATGAATGCTGAATAACTGCAACATCGAGTACACAGGACTGCTTTTAAAACATTTCAATGATACACTGAATCATTCTTTGATTACATGAGTGTTGAGTAACAACTCATTTCAGGAAATGGCTCGTCACAAACTTTGGCAAGAAATAAAAAAAAAACCAATAAGATTTACAGTACTCAGTACTGTCCAGTATGTAACCCGTGGCCAAAGAAATGGTTTGAAATACACTTTAACTCCAACAGCCTTCAATCCCACCATTTCAGTATGATTTTACATACACAGTGGGGATTAGACTTAATAAAAAGCATATACGTATACCCATTCCTCAATGTGGCAATATCACCAAGCTGATATTCTATACACCACGTACTTATACCATACTTGTAACCTCAGTTCCAAATGAGTGAAAAGCCTGCATTACCAGCGCTGAGTTCAAGTTCTCCAAAGCAAGCTCACTTAAATTATATCCACGAGTATCAATGGAGTCAAGGCAATGCACAAAGACCATGTGGACAATAAAAATGCTGTGACAGGTACGCTGTACCTAGTTGGTTCCTCAGAGGTCTTTCCCAAGCACAGCCCAAGTAGTTGATAGACTGCTTTTGAATTAGTAGGGAAAGAAACGTTTGGAGAAATGGCTTCCCACAAGTGTGCAAGAAACGTACAACTACATGTAACTTGCACTAGGACTGCATGTTACTTGCAATACTTTGAACATTTTCAGCAGTAAACTTGTTCTTCAAATCATCACCCACATTTAAAAGCCAGAGTGCTCTACCATGAATACGTAGTCTTGTTTTCAGGCTTGATTTTTTTTTTAATGCTAGATTTTATGAATGGTTGGTAGATTGGGAAAGAACTTGATGACAGACCATGTCACATGTCTAAAGGGATTTTTTTTTTTTACAATTTCTTAGTCACCGGAATGTAACATCTCCATGTATCAGTTCCATATCTTCAAAATGAAGACGTGGGCTCAATTTCATGGCACACTGCTTGACAGTTAGCAGAAGATTTGTGCTCACTAAAGCAGAAAATGTTTAAACAGTAAGCAATATGTCAAGGTGGAGCTTGGTGTGGTTGTACCTGGTTGTGCGCATAGAGATTTCCAATGTTTCGTCACTATTCTGAGACAATTTTTCTCCAAAGTAAGCATGCTTTTTTACCACGTTTACCGCTTACAGTCTGTGACAGAGGCACAGAGCCTCTGTCAGTGTAAAATCAAGTGCTTAGCAGAAGTGGGCCCTGGTTTTGAAAGCAGTTTACGAGGGAATAATTGTTGAGTACGCTTTTCCTCAAAATCAAAATTGTATTGGTTGGTACGTGATCTAACCATCTCATCAGCTTTCTCCCTTTCATCATTCCTTTATTTCAATCAGCAAGCTACTTCAAATGATCAGCCACTTTATACCACTAACTGTGTGAACTAACACATAAATCACACTGTGTCTCACTGTTTGACGATGAACTGACTGGCCAAGTGCACTTGCTAGAGAAAGGCTCTGAAAGTTAATACAAGCAGTGAATAATTGAACTGAAATCTTATTAAACACCCCTGTGTTGTTACATAAGCCTATCACAAGCGTCCAAAAGTGTGGCAGGATATGACAAGGCTGGTAACATTTCCACGGTGACAGAAAAAGGCAATGCCCTGTCATGGAAACCAGACCAACATGGCTGCCTTAGGTAAGGATCACCCAAAGACACAGCACATTGGCAACAGAAAACAGTGCCCTAGTCTTTTTTAAAACTCACTTTTTTTCTTGTAATATCAATACAAGTACGTACCAGCAACATTAATTAAAACCTCTGAGTGCATTTTACAGTGAGCTAAAAATGCTTCTTTCCAATTATCATAAGATGGAGACTGAAACATTACAAAGCTAAGGAATACAATTAACAACCAAGACTTTCTCAGTGTTGTGAATATTGTTTGTTTTTATGTTTCTTGCAGTTTTCCCCTGGTCTTTGGTTGTGGCTGCAAGTCATTGAGAGGAGAGGCTGGTACCTAGAGAGGTTTCTGCACTAGGATGCATCGACATGTCAGGGCACCATCCACTTTGTGCAGCTCGCTGTTAGGGATGGGTATCCGCACGTCGTTAGGGAACCTCTCTTCAAAGATCTGTGTTGAATAATGAAAGTCAATTTCTTCCCTTTAAGTCAATCATGGAGGCAAAGCCAAAGAGAGAAATTCTAAGGGGAGAACCAAACGCATGTATCTGCAACCTTCCAAAAACGAAGGAGGGGGGATCCCCATCTCTATCTGCTCTGATCGGGAACAAGAGAAGGTATGTTTTGCAGAGCAAGGATGGCGCTTCAGAGGGAACTCACTGCATATGCATGCAGGTTCCTGCGCAAATGCACATTTGGCAGGAAAAGTGCAGAACATGCCCTGCTATTCTCTGTTTATATCAACAGGGCAAAAGTACATGTAAGTCAAAACAGTGCTCACCAAACAATATAAGGAGTAGAATTTTCCATCCAATTAGGCTTTCATCTGAGCTGGGGAGTTGGACATAATTATGGCCTTGTGGGGCCAAAAATTCCTTACATTTTCCTATGGCCTTGCGAGGCCCAAAATTCCTTACATTTTCTGGTGAGCACCGCTTTAGGTTTGACCTATTTAACTTACATTTAGTGGTTCGAAGTTCTAATTTATATTTGTTCATTGTCTTTTGGAATGTATAGTCTCTGCATGAGCACCTGACCCACGCCCACGTCCAGTTGAAAATCTTCTCATCAACATGTCTCTTCTTTGCCAATGAGGGTGCACTTCAGCTCGGGATGGATGACTGACCTAAGCTTCATTCGGCATGTTAATGTGTTCCACTGCATGATACCAATTTTGTATTAACCACTTCATGCCGGGGCATTTTTCAATGTTGATGATGCTGGGCCGGCACAACTATAATTTTTTCCGTTTTCAAAATCCTTCAAAAATTCATCATTTCATTTAACGGTCGTTTATAGCCGCACGGAGTAATCTTTAGCAGGACTNGAGCCAGATTGTGCGTTGTTATATAACTTTCTTTTGTTCACGAACCTGGCTCAGCGCTCTGCTGACCTCTTTTCAATAGGGGCCAGATTAGCATGCAGCTGATGTTGTGTGGCTCATCGCTGCGGTAGTGGAGCACTTTTGTCCCCGGTGGTAATCCGCTCGCTCTCAATGCCCTAAACCCTGGTATACGGTTTCAAAACAAAGCTGGATTATCACCACTTTTGAGAGTGAGAAATGTCGGTAATGCCCAGCAGCCTGCTCTTTTGTTCGGAGTACGGTCTTTTGTTACAGGGCCCTGTTTCCTTTCTCCGAGTTCGGAGACCCCGGCCACGCATATAAACCATATGTCTCCGATTCCGGAGTCCCTGGCAGGAAGTGGTTAACCTTGAACTCGTCCATTTTTACGTGAAGAGGGAAGTTCTCCTTGGTTAGTCTTGATTACCTTGTAACTATTAGGATATTCTTGCTTTGTGCAGTGGAGGAGATATCCCCTGACGTAGACACAGTTGGCAGCTGCGTCATCAGGAAGGGTCAGCGTGCAGTAATCATAGTCGCTCTTTTCTAAAATTTGCTGTGAGAAGGGCAAGAAAAAAAAAGATGGCTAAGAACAAACCTTCAGTTCAAACAGCAGACCATAACGAATGGCCTTATTACAAGTACACAAAGCCATGTAATAATACTGAAGTCACTATATACTTATGAATCACGATGCTGAGGTCACGATACAACTATGCATCCTGATGCTCAGGTCACGATACAACTACGCATCATGATGCTGAGGTCACGATACAACTACGCATCATGATGCTGAGGTCACGATACAACTATGCATCATGATGCTGAGGTCACGATACAACTATGCATCCTGATGCTCAGGTCACGATACAACTACGCATCATGATGCTGAGGTCACGATACAACTATGCATCATGATGCTGAGGTCACGATACAACTATGCATCCTGATGCTCAGGTCACGATACAACTACGCATCATGATGCTGAGGTCACGATACAACTACGCATCATGATGCTGAGGTCACGATACAACTATGCATCATGATGCTGAGGTCACGATACAACTATGCATCGTGATGCTGAGGTCAAGACTACGCATCACGATGCTGAGGCCGCGATACTATCTTAAGGTCACTCTTCACTAAGCCAGACAGACATCATTGTATCCCCGCCATTTGGCAAAGTTGAACTTGATCCAACCCGGCCGGCTGTCTGCCTCTGTGTCAGTCGCAGTAAAACATTTCAATATGTTGATGTATTATTTGCGATGCTGTCTGTAATTCAATGCTTCGGAAACCAAGCTTTTGGCAAAGGTCCTGCTGAAAGTCTGATACCCAGACTGCTGTCTTGTACCTTCAATGCAGACTGTGCAGCTGGGCTGCTCCCAACTGCCAGGATCCCTGGCGCAGCCATACTCATCATGCTCTTCAGGTGCAAGTGGTCGGCCACCTTGATGGAGGATACCGGATAGTTGGGGAAGGCTTTGGCCAGGGCGTTGGCTCCTTGGCTGTTCGTCCGCTTGGAGATACCAACAAAGAACTCCTCGCCTGCCAAATGCAAGACAGAAAAGACAGAATGGTAGTGTGAGGTTCATCTGTTAAGCTCACCATCCTCCATCAATGAAACTTCAAAACATATTATTGGAAAAGGTATAAACAGTCTACTAATCAATGTTGTTTCTTCTGTGCTAAGAATTGATGGCTTATTTTTTATATTGGGTATGTTTCCCTTCAGGGACGTATACTTGTATCACTGTATATGCAACTGTATATGCAGTGTAGTCCGGGGACTTTGTGAAAAATCCACATTAATTCAGCTTGGACTCCAACCCATGACCTCCTACGTACTGGAGCTGACATCTTATCACTCAACCACCAAGCTTGTCTGGGCTGGATGGCCAGTTTGAGTAATAATTAGCACCAGGTTCTCCTCGTAAATGTAAATTAAATGTAAATTACATGTGATTTTTGCTCAGGGCAGATGTAAAGTTTTTCCTTGGTGAGTTTTTCTGTGTAGCCCTTCACACCAGAGGATTTCTGCTGGCATAAACGTTTGAAATTCAGGAGCCTAAATTACTCTTGAAAACAACTACAGTGCACTTGCCTGAAAATATTCTTAGATACAGTCCACAGTTAAACAACTGATCATATTTCATGCTTAACTTGAGTGTCAGTCTTTGGATAAAAAACTAATCCAACTGGTGGGCACCGGTATAGTGCAGCTTGCTCTTGAAACTGTCAATAGAATAGACAGTCAAACAGAAGACGCCTACGTGTAAATGTTTGAAACTGTGCGTGCACAAACCAGTGACGTGTGTGCAGATATGGCGATCAACTATGCGTTACACTTACATGTACACCATCCGCTGAGCTTTCAATCAGAGCCAACGGAGGTCATTCACTATTAGTGCATTAACAGGCTGACATATGTATGCCACTAAAGAACAAGAACAATAATATTGACCCGTAATGTGCACTTATCCAGGAGCCAGCTCAAAGTGTCTGACATCATTTTCATCCTTGCTCACTGGGCGGGCTACATGTGTAAAACCCATGTGGCGAGTATACAACTCGATGCTGGCAATTCTGGCACAAAGCGCTCATCGAGTACAGTATTCTATATACCCATATAGGTACCCATTTATATCCCTGGGTGGAGAAAGGCAAGAGGGAGTAAAGTGACTTGCCCACTCTCACAACATACGGTATACCCAGCAACTGGATTTGAACCCCCAACCCTACCGGTATGTTCGTGATTCCCAAAACCTTGGACCACCAGGCAACACGCCTCCACAACGCATTCAAGTCTCTTCCACCAGCTAACAACAAATATTTTTCCCATAACCGGAGAGGAGGTGAACACAAATATTGTGCTCGTCTTTTGGGACCATGGATCTCAACAGTTTTTTCTGCCTCCGTCAGTGCTACATTGTAAAATAAATGTTTTTGAGGAGCTATGAACTGATGGAAAACATCTGTCCTTGACCGAATCTCCAGAATACAATCTCTTCAAGGAGGTTGCTATGCTCGCAATGCAGTGAGACGAGTTAAAAGACATCAAATGATCAACAGCGGTGGTCTCTTTTCTGGCCTACACTGCCTTGAAGTTCCAAAATCTAAGGGCTGGCACGCTGGGTCTGGCATAAGTTACATGCAGACATATACCACTAGCAGATGAGATACATGTGTGTGCAATATGAAAGGTCTCTGGTATGGCGATGATAATCCGGCAATTTCATACACAATGTAAACACTCTATCCAGGACAGTCTTCCAACGTGTCAACAACTGAACTAACACATCCGTGGCCGCCCAATAACTCATATTTCAACATGATTCATCTCTGTTTATTGCTGCATTATTTGGGCCATGGGGGGTCCCCAAAGCCAGGCCTTTTGTCAAGAAGTGATTGCACAGGATGTAGGGCATAGCAGACGCTGGATTGTATAACATTAATCTATGCTTTCCTGCCTACAGCTCCAGCACTCCAATCACCAGTTCTTGATTACATTTCTTGCAGTGGGTTTTGAGGCGAGAGATGACATCCCAGACTGCACATCAGAAACACAAAAAATGCTGCCGGCAAAGGATCTGATGACTTTTAATCAGCTCCAGTTGACAGATTAGGAGCATGTTTACATACAACTGGACCCAAGCAATGCCCTGTGGCTTCCCTAGTCTGCCCTACTGCACTGTGCATGTAGCTTGATCGTCATTAATCATTCTAAAATGTTACAGCCAATGGAATGCTGCACCACCATGTCATCCAAGAGTACATCTTGAACCATTTTCCCACTGCAATCTGTTTACTTTTGTAACTCAGAGATGTTCTTTATTGCTTACCTTGTCACAACTGGAGTTCTATTACTGGGTGGGGATGTCAACAAGGACCATGGCTCCTTTTCCCCAGGAAACAGTATTTTATTTTATGAAAAAATTGAGGAAAGGTGATTTTGGGACTTCTTCACTTCATTTCCTTCTACAGAAAGCCCCAAAATTACCGTAATCCCTCATAAAGGCCACAAAAGGTTACAAAGGAATACACAAATTTTGTGCCCTCATTCCCCTTAAAAAAATTGCCCCCCCCCAAAAAAAAATTTGGTTCCCGATCCATCCTTGGGTTTCATAACTGTGTGTCTATTTTCCATTTGGTTTCATTAGTCTTTTCAAACCTCAGAGTATGAAGCCTGTCCTGCGTTTTTTACATTGTGTCATTAACTGCTCATTAGGAATCCAAGGGAAAACATCTTCCTCCTCCTAGTCTGGTTGACTGTCCCCTGCATTGTCAAGCTCCACTAATCCAAGCACAAACATCTAATCAATTCCCCTAAGGTGTTGCCTTGTGTTTCCTTGACGACACCTAATCATCTTTGCTGTAGCCCTGCTCTTTCTGTTGTGATCTTTGGCTTTCTTATAGCTCCATTTATAATGTCCCTCACTTTGTTCTGGACTTTCTTTGTAATAAAAGGTACAGTCTATCATTTACAGCTATCCATAAATTTACTGACAAAATTACCGTTGAAAGGTTATACTCATTTCAAAGGCAGTTGTGGGACTAAATTCCCCATGAAATTATTTCCCGGCAGGCTGTCACTTTGAAAAGAGCACTGAAAGAGGACCATTTCCAATAACACGTCGAAAGATACATTTTGGGAAATGGCCATTAGTAGTTAATGGTAAAGAATGGACAAACCTTGACAAGATGCGCCCGCACATGCAGCTACTATAATTCATCCGATCAGCGTGACATCACGCAGCTGTGGTTGGCAGGAGAATGTGTCACAAATGCTGAATTTGGGCGTAATTCAAAATATGACTCGGCTACTTTTGATTTGAAATCGAGATCCTGTTAAAAAGGTCGTTTTTCTCGGAACAAACAGCATTCACTGAGCTAACTCTTCATCGGGTTAAATATTACGCATATTATTAGGTTTGGAGCACTTTTGTTGTCTCAAATGAACATAATTGCACAAGTGACAAATAGGTCTGACAAATGATGGACTCTAAATGTACATGTACACCTTCCGAGCCCTTCAAGCTTTGATGAGGCAAACTATAAAGCAATACCACTTTTAGAGTTGGAATGCTTTGATTTATAGGTACCGTTTATTAAGTCTCATCTGAGTTCTCATAATTTTCTCTTGCACCTGTACATCTAAGATGGTTTCCCCATTCAATCAAGTGTTTCACAAATGCCTTTACAATATGTAAATGCTACAGTACATGTATGTTTGGACAAATATTGAAGCAATGACCATATTGGGCAAATCAGAGTTTTAAAAAAAGTTAAGGGCATCTATATTGATGATGATTAATTTGACACTGGCATTAAAATGTACCTCAAAGACCAACTGGCATAAGAAACAAATTTAAAACAACGAAAACCCACAATGACAGTGGGGACACTCCTCTGACGTTCAAGATGGCAGGATAGACAACATTACTTTGAAGGTGTACTAGGATGAGCGGCTGGTTTTTGTACATCTTCACCACCGTTTTGCATCAGCTGGGATGAGATATTTTAGACAACCCTAACCCGCAAGGGAATTTCCAAGCCAGTTACTTTCATGTGACAATATGCACGTCTACGTGGGGTATGCGAGTTGAATTTCATGTGAGCCATCAGACCGCGGTGTCGAGCTCGTGAATGGTGCATATCCAAGGTGAAGCAGACGGTGCCGTGGATTCATGGGGGGGGGGAACCACAGAATATTTGCTGCTTGATTGAATTAAGCCAGAACATATACAGTACTGGTACATCAAGATGATGACAAAGCTTGCCCGTCTTTACAGGGAGTGAGTCCAGTCATTACAGTGTAACCTTACATTTCTGTGTAATTCCTGCCTAGTGACAAAACGATGGATTCTAGACATGCTCTGATGTAAGGTGTACAGGTGAGTGTATATGATGTACCCTAACCATCTTGTGTGATGCCCTATCCACTTTGTGGTACACCCAATGATGTGAATTTAACTTTGTGCTGGATGACGTGTACACACACAGGGATTTCATGTGTCGCACAGTGCACAGAGGACATTTAACTGCATTCTGGTAAATGAGTCAGTTCGGTATTCTAACATGCATTCATACGTGGGTGCCCAAAGCTATTGTAAAAAGCTAAAGCTATAAAGCACTATTGTGAACCGCCTGTATTCAAAAGATTTACTGTGCACTGGATGAGGATTCATCACAGCATCAACACACTGTACGTACAATGTATGTCAATAAGTGCTTGATGTCACACAAGTTAAAGTCAGCTTCTAGTGTCATGATTCCATGTAAATATTCACTGTAATTGTTGATAATAACACGGGCAACATTCTGCAAAAAGAACAACCAAACTGCCAAAAAGAAAGCCTCAAAGAAAAAAGGATGTCTAAACTGTCGTCAAAATGTAACAACCATCTTTAGATGAACAACATCTGAAGCCTGCTTCAGGAACACATCAAAGTTCCTTTGCTTCATTGGTGAACTTCTTTGTTCCACATTTTCCTTGAAAGTTGTTCTCTGGGCTAATCCCCAGACCTGCAAGTCCAAAATGCAACAAATTTGCAGAGGTTCATCTCTTAACTGTGGCATAAACTCCACATATAATGTGAATGTGAAATAATGCAATACTAACTCGCTCAACAGTGAACATTCACGGTTAAAACATGCATGCACTTGAAACTAACCTTGGCAACTGGATAATCAATGCACACATGCATGTGTTCACCCAAATACAACAAAGACAGAACTGTGTTTCTCTCTGTGACCTACTTATCTCACTTGTTTTTCACCTTTCCACCGTGGACATCCATTTTCATGAGCTGGCGTGCTCATTAGCCCGTTTCTTTTATAAAACGCTCGTAGCTCAATTTCTCGCCTCACCTGTGAACAGCACATCGCCTCCATCCAGCGTGGCGTTGGGGTCCTCAATCTCGTAGATCTGCTGCCTCAGGTCATCACGCAGGATCCGTCTGATCTCATCTACCTGCAGGCGAGGAACAGGATAGACATGGTGAGACATGTGGCGAGCGAGAAGGTGGGGAGGGGGAGAAATTGAAAGAAAAGGGCAGTTTGTCACAAATGTGGTTAAGGTAGAGGGGGGAAGTTAAAGCAAGTCTAAAGATGACGCGACAAAGAAAAACACAGCAGAGACACATGGTGACACACATGGTGACATAGGGGGTGGAACAACAAAACATGTTAAGATGGGGATAATTAAAAGACTGTTCTTAGGATGAAATGTTGGAGGGGGTGAAGGTAATAAACTGTTGTGAAGAAGGGACATGTATAAGGGTGATACAGGTAGTGGGGGGAAGGAAACACAGACTAAACAGACATGAGGAGACTGCTTGGTGAAGGGTGCTGTGACACCAGACAAGAATAGAGGACATACAGAGAAGTACATGGGGACAGGAAGGGGAAATACATAAAGTGAGAAACGAGGTGGAATGGAAACAGAAACACGGGGGATTAAATGCAGAAAGTTGTGACAGAACGGAAATGATAGATAAGAATAATTGGAATGTAAATATAAAATACTGGGATATGGGGAGAAGGAAAGTGAAAAAGAAATTGAAATGACTGAAAAAAAGCATCAAATGCAGTGTGCATATCAGATAATTGGCAAAATACAATGTATATGGTTCTATGTGTACAAAGCCAGCCGACTAGACAATTGTATTTACTGAGCTGGCAATCCATTAAAGGTGAAAACTGAAATAAATTGTCATCAGCAATGGAAAGTTTAGGAAGATAACAAGCTTGCTCATAAGAGAGACTTGTGCACAAGAGAATAAAGATATTCCAATTTTTTTCAGCTAACTTCTAAATAATTTCACAAATATTACTGAGTTCATCTAAAGTTGGTCACTGCAAGGTCTCAAACACCAGCTTAATGAGGACAAATGTAAAGTGAACTTTTCCATTTAAGACAGCTAGGGGTTTCTTCAGCAAATGAACATTTTCCACGATTGACAACTGTACATGTGAACAACAGAGTGCACGATGTCCTTGAACAAATCTGATTTTACTATATCAATGCCAGCTTCTCGATGCGTAAATGGATTTCAGCTAACCACAAGTCCCCATCTCGGCCCACAAGTCCATATACGGTTATCAGCATCAGAGATGCCACAAAAGGGGCGGAGCCAAATGTGATACACTGTGGCTCCTCTAAACTTCCCTCTCACCCCCTCCCCCCTCCCCCCTCCCCGACAAATAAAACTCAAACTCCTTCACGTTCGTCCTGAACATTCTTAAAACTTTAAAAACCGCAGCAACATTCCCAGAGGACATGGGCTGTTGGAAGCGACTGTCGGCATGCTGTGTCAGATAGAGTCTGTGATCTAATACAGTCTGCCACATTCTCTCCTGGTGGGCCAATTAAGCAAATGACTAATGCTGAGTCCTGGTAATACCCACCATCCAGCTTCCCTGCTTCCATTTTTTTTTTCAAACCTCTCTCACTGAAGGCAATTAATGCCCCTTGTGTACATGTACATACATGTGCATGTACACTGCATGTACGCGTCAGTTCTCCCTTTGGTCTAGCCATGATTAACACCAGTGGCAAATTTACCTTACGAAAATGTTCACAATGGATGGTCCACAGTGTTTTGGACATGTGCAGAAACCATGCAGTGAATACTAACAGTAAATGCAGTAATATAATACCCACACTGGTACCGGTATAACTGGAATTTCATTGTTGCTAGTCACTTTTGTCGCCGACACAAAAAAAAAGACTGGTCGGTGGTACTTGAGCGCACTCCCTTTGCATAGAATTCACCAAACCGCATCATTTTGGTTTTCATCAACTGTAACCGAACAATGCGTAACCCAGCTCTGTGTAGTTTTGTTTTCAGGAGAGGAAATTTTTTCTGAATTTCTAAAGTTACGAGGGTTATAATTTTTCTAGGTATAATTTGTCTTAACCCCACAAGTATGGATGGATCAGATAAGGTCCTGTAGAACCTTTCACCTTAAAAGAGCTGGCAAGGGGGAAGGGGGACAATCTGCCCCCCTCAACATTTTTCCGATATTGCAGTTTCTTTTCAGGAGCCAGGCTTTTAGGAGTTTCTTCGGGTAACTCTCTGCACTCGTTTTGTGAAAATCGTACTTCCTGTTTTTATGAGGCAAGTCAACATACATGTACACTTTTCCACTGCCGTGCAGTTAATGCAAGCCGCTGGCATGCATGTGGCCTTCAACTTCAAATGACTGTATCAACAAAACCATACTGATATGTCACATTGAGTTGAAACTTCACATTTGTATGGATAACGAGTGTCTTTGCATGCACGCCAAATCTTTAAAATTCGGCTGACATTCCGACAGCCGAATTAAAGCATTTTTCTCTGCGGGGTACATGTATATGTATACATCTGCTACAGTTTGTCAAGTCATGAAATCCCAAGTGCAATGTATACGGCATACATGCAAGTCTTTGCAGCACATGCATGTATTTACATTCTGTGGCAGTTCATTAGACCCAAACTGCTTACTCTGCAGTTTTCAAAAAGCCAAATGCCCCCCGCACATTTCATGCATTTCAGTTTGTGAAATTGGTCACAAATTTTAATACAGTTGGTAATGACACATCTAGCCTCCTTTCCCCTCCCCTGGGGACGGGTGTTTATTCGACAACAGGGACCAGTTCTAGCACTTTAGCAGGGCTGGTCGAGACATCACGTAACATTACATGTATACATGTACATGACCTGAAATGACTGCAATATACATACATGTATATATATTCCAGTCATTTCAGGTCATTCATGTACATGTACTGGTACCCATACATAAAAGTGTGTTATGATAAATGAGACCCGAGGTCAGGCAAAAGACCTAACCAGAGATAACCTCTACAATGTATGCCACAAAAAACAATGCCAATAAACATGCTAGCTCCTTCTGATAGCATTATGGGGTACATTGGTAAATCTAAGCTCCAGGTTCTGCCTTCACAGGAGCGCCAGCAACCAATTGGATTATCACAGCCATTACATGTACATGTACTTCATGTATAACCATACTAAGTGCATTGTATTGCAATTATATTTGTACAAGTTAACTTTTACAAAATTTCTAGAGAGGAATGTGTGAAATAACAACATAAGCTTTGGCTAATCCGCCCCTCCCAAAAAAAGAAAAAAAATATGTTTTTAAAAGGTATCAATTTTGTGTAAGGCCATTTAAAATTAATTTTAAGATTAACATCAGTAAGACTGCAACAAATGCAAAATCAACGAAAAGGGAGAAATTTGTTTTAAATGAGAAAAATCACACTATAGAGGCTTGTTTCAAACAGACTCAAATAAAACATGACAGAATAATTTATCTTACAAGATTCCAAAAGTAAACTTAATCAAGCGGAATATTTTATAGATTTGACTTCTTTACATCCAAAGTAAATTGAGGGTTACAACGTTCCGCTATGTACTAAACCTAAAAGAGGACATAACAAACATGAAAGCTGCCATTAACAACAATTTGTTTTAGTATGTTAATATGGGAGATGTCATCTCTAAGTATCGGTCTCCAGGAAGCCACAACAGCTCCAGCATGTTATGGGCACAAACCACACATTAGTAACTACATGCAGATTGCTTTAAAGTAATGAGCATACAAAAGGTTCCCCGTTTGCTTGGAGTCAACAGAGCTCAGCCTGTTGACTTGGTGGGAAAGTTGTCTGGAGATAGAATTAATACATACATGTATTTAAAAAAAATTAGGGCAGAGACGTGAAAATGGAGGCGGACAGTGATGTGAACCTAAAATTTCATTCTAAAGAGCCTACAGTATGCCTATCAATGAGAGGCTGGTTGGCCACCCAACCCACACTTTAAGACTGTCTAGCACAGTCTAGCAGAAACTTATCAGGTACAGTGTACATGTATGTTCAGTGTGGCCAATGCCAGTCACCCATGGACCTGTTCAGGTACACAATACCCGCTGTGTCCCCACCAAAGGGATACAGTTCACAAGTAACAAAAAAAAAACCATTTCTTGTTCCTGTATAGAGATTGTAGGGTAGTACAGAATATTGACATAAAATGAACACAATCTAGTACAATGTAACCTGTAGTGGTGAGGAAACAAGGTTTACATACTGTACATGTTGTACAATACATGTACATGTATTGTGCATATGAGTAACTACTGAAGCAATAGATGTACATGTACATCTACATGTATGTACATGTAGATCCCAAGAATATCTTCCACCTGCTTATAGCACTATGACACAAGGAAACTAAGAAAGCAACAGAATTGAAGAATATAATTCAACACTGTGACCTGATAATGTTTTATTGGAAGAGTCCTCACTGACAGGGAATATTTATCTATTCACTGCACGGCCTTCCGAGATATTCCTCATTAATTACCATGATGGCTGGTTGATGACAAATCCGCACATCAGCAGTGGAGGCTCTGTAATGCATAGTATTGGACAGAGGGACATATCCCGCGGGAAATGTGACTGGGAAATACTGACCTATTATGAAGGATTATAATCTGCAATGTGAGAAGCACGATGCTTGTACAGATGTATTAATTAAGGGAGAAGTACATACAATGTGTACATGTACATGTGTACATCTAAATTAAAATGCTTATACATGTATTATAACATGATGTTCTAGTACATGTACATGTACATGTAAATTATTGGTTACCACACAAGTGTCTCACGGAGCAGGTATGGGCCCTTTTCCAATACTCGACTTGGGCTCCGTCTCGGGCTTCGTTCCCAAAACCAATCCTCGATTGTGGGCCTGAAGCGTATAAATTAAATTGAATTACTGTAATTTTTGGCTTTTTTGCATCTTATCTGATGTTCTGTGGCACTATTAGACTGATTACTGCGCTTACAGCTTCAAAGTCAGCTAGTTAAAAAACAGTTGAAGCCTGAGACGGAGCCGAAGTTGAGTATTGGAAAGCAGCCATGGAAGAATGTGGCTTGTCTGTGTCCCACATTATGCA